TCCCGTTTGGTCTTGAGGATTCCAAGTGATGGCTCACCTTGTGATGCAATTGGGTGATTTTCTGAATGTGTGTTCTATCCACTTCCAACGCTTCTTCCTGATTTCTTCCTCCAGTGGAATCTGGTTTGTTGTCTCCCACAGTAGAATGTTGCTGATATTGTCTGGCCAACGGATCCGAAGAATCTTGCATAGACAACTGTAAATAAACACCTGTATCTTCTGTATAATTGTTTTCGTTGTTCTCCAAGTTTCCGCTCCATACAGTAGAACTATCTTCACATGTGTATTGAAAATTCTGATCTTGGTGTTGGTTGACAATTGTTTTGAGTTCCAGATGTTCTTCAGTTGCAAATATGCTGCTCTTGGTTTGCCGATTCGCGCCTTCACATCTGCATCAGCATTTGCGTTCGAATTCTCTTGGTGTGGTTGAGGTTTATTGGTCCGTGTTGTTCAATGACAAACTGTAGATGGCGCTTCGTGTCCTCTTTTGAAATTGCACATTGTTGAGATTGATTTCATAAAGGTTATCAGGGCGATTTTGTATACGAAGACTTATAAATTATCTTGAAGATAATCCGCTACAAGTTGAGTTATAGGTGAACTAATAGGGTAGAGACTAACATCTTACAGAGTTGAGTTGTTTCCATTGATGTGTGAGAACAGAACAGATGTGCATAGTGTGAAAAACTTCAAGTGTCCCCAAAATACTCTTTCTTGTTATTATATTATTCATATTAAATCAGTCGAATGTCTCGAGTAGTAAAAGCTGATGGCTCGGTAGGTAACACATGCTACTGCCGTGTAGACTCAGAGTCTGTGTACCTATATCCCATGCAAAATACTTTTATAGTGCTCATTGAAATGTACTTGATATCTTTTGACAATGGTGTGGCAAGTGCATCAACTTTTTTTTAATTTTGTGCTCCCACTGTATTAGTATTCAAACATACTATTCCGGAAAGCACTATTTTCTGGAAATCATGGAATTTGGAAGTGCTATTTATATTTACTGGGAGTAAGTAAGTAAGTAAGTATTAGGTATACAAATTCAAAGTAGTATTGAACGATGATCTTGAAAATGGTGTCTATTTAACTGGTGAAATACATCCATTTATGAAAAGAACTGTATTGTACTCTGAATATAGTTGATGTGTCAACTGACTGGAGGCTTGTAGTGATTTGCATTATAGATAGAACCTCAAATAAAACCATTGATTTGGTTGAGCCTTGAGAAAATACCCAGATTTTTCATCTTTGAGTACTGAAGAAGACGTTAGCCACTAAAGATATGCTACTGGTTGTGTACTTTAGATGATGATTTCGTTGAAGTGACCCTTCATAATCAAACTATTCAGGCATGAATTTATATCTAATCAGTATACAAGAACATATTCATGAAAACCGTGGTCTAATGGCCGTATTCTTCTGAGAACTCCATTTTGCGTCAAATACTTTGTATAGAGGGATATCAATAACGTTCCTGAATTTATTGATATATTGGTCGCAATCAAACTCTTCTACATTTGTTGTTATGACTTCACCATGGATATTGATTGTGATCCATCTGATCAAAATGATCAGTTACCTTTGTTGTCAATGCATAGTTTTATATACTTATTGAACACTTCGTAAAACATAAGATGGAATATCTGTTTGATGAGGTACGTATGAAATAGGTAATAGCGCAGTGAAGGAGAACATGAGTAGAGACAATCGAATGTGTTTCCACACAAATGACAGAATCTTTATGTAAAATCTAAGTACTATACAGTAAAAAATACTTCATTTGCAAAATGTTAATTATTCGTCCCAGACTTCATTGTTCCTTCGTTTCCACACTAATCATTCTCTGTTCTCGTTCTCTATCCTTCAATCTTCTTAATTTTCTGCCACCAGACATTTCACTTTCCATTGATGGCACATACTACTTTTATCTGTTGACATCAGTAGCACATACCATATAAGGTTACTTAGTCCTATCAGGAGTCAAAGTCATCCCAACATGCCTTATAATGATCTCCTTTCTGTATGCTATTTGAAAAGACATAGATCAAAGTATTTGCGAACATTCTTTGTTTATTAACTTAACATTAACTGATTATTTGTAGCATTAATTAAAATTGGTCATTTAAAAATTAAATCAGATTGAAGCATGTGAGAATATCAGTAATACTGGAGCTTCATTTCATTTCTTCTGTGTATTATCTGAAACGAAAAAAAAACGTTGCTGATTATATACTGTTGGGGAGGTACAGAAAACTCCTCGAAAAAAAGGCGCTGAAAACACTTAGAAGCATCTTATTCAATCAGCATTTAATAGGAGTTTTGTGAGAAACATCTAGAAAGTAAAAAGTCACATGTCGAGATTCTGATTGGATGATTATCTATACTGCTACTATGTTTAGTAGTGTTCCATAACTTTCTGGGAATCCAAGAACATCTAAAATACTATAAGTTCCCTCCCCTCTCTAGGAGTAAAACGTTCCTTCCATACTTCACTCCTTTCCTCTCATTTTCAAGTTGCTATGTAGATTTAGTCTGTGGTTTACTAGACGTGCTTAGGAAACTGAACCTAATGTCCAATTAGAAGACTTATATAATGATAATTACTTACATACATACAATGTTCTTGTATTCAACTGACCTGAACTATGCTAAGAATATGATTTAGCTACTTATGGAATATATATTCCCTCTTCAGAACATGAACATCTCTCTCTCTCTTTCTCTGTGGTGAGAGGGGTTAGGCTGCATCGGAATAGTTAGCTGATTTAGATATCGTATCACTGTGTTGTTTAAATTTCATATCGATCACTTTCTGCTGCCATTCTCGTTTATTCAAAGTTTTTGTGAACTTTCGGTTGATAGGCTTCCAACTTTCGTCCGTTCACAGATTAGATGAACTTGTAATCTCATTACAAATATCGTAGTATTTGGTACATTGTATTGAATTTAAAGTTTCATCAAAATACTGGTAAAAGTGAAAGATCCAGTAGGTTAAACATTCATTCACTTATTATGAAGCGATGTGTCGCTGATATTTTCATAGTTGAAATCATGAGTCAGTTGAAGCTAGACCATCATGGAAAACCTGGAAGCACTGAACAGCCGTTTCCTCCTACTATGCGACTCCTCAGCAGTGCGCATACGTGGTCTCACCTCGCCAGATTCAAACCCAGGACCTACTAGTTTCGTTCCAGAGCACTTAATCGATAGACCACTAAGCCGGCATCCAACGGTGTTAATGTCTAACTTCAATCAATTTATGAAATGATCAAATGATTATTGATAGTTTTGTCAATGATTATGTATGCCAATGAGTATCTGATATTGAATTTTTTTAAAAATAGTCTGATTGTCATCCACACTTACAAAATACTTTTACTTGAATGTGCTAATGCTAATCCGGATATAATGTAAAGCGATACTCATTCATTCATATTGTGATATGTGCTACAAATGTCAACAGATATAAGTAGTATGTATCATCAGTCGAAAGTAAAATGTCTGGAAGGTTAAGAAGATCGAAGGAGAGAGAACGAGAATAAAGAATGATTGATGTGGAAACGAAGGAACAATGAAGTCTGAGACTATTGATTAACATATTGCAAATGAATTTGCTGTATGGTACTCAGATTCTGCCAAGACGTTCTGCAATTTATGTGTACAATAACATTTGATTGTCCTCACTTTTGCTCTCGTTCACCAGTATATGGTCTATCGGTTAAGTGATCTGGCGCGAGACTGGTAGGTCCTGGGTTCAAATCTCGCGAGTGCAGGGTAGTGGATGCGCACTGCTGAGGAGTCCCATAATCGGACGAAACGGCCGTCCAGTGCTTTCAGGCTTTCCATGGTGGTATAGCTTCAATTGACTCACGCGTTCACCAAGTTCATGAGTTTAATTGAAAATGTCACTGAAGTGTTTACCTTGATTCCTTCATTTCATTATTAATATCTGTGAGCAATTGATGTTTAACTGTAAACAAAGAAAATGACAAATAATTGGTCGTTAAAAGTGATGTCCGAATTGAATCTATGTTTTCTGAAATTCTAAGAATATAGTATGGATTCGAATATCTCATTGTGCCTACATCTGTCATCAACGATGGGATGATCATAAAAACGTGATCAAAATGTTGTAGAAGTTACATCGCGTATGCGCACTGCCGAGTAGTCCCATACTAGAACGACACGTTCGTCTAGCACTTCCAGGTTTTCCATGGTGGTCTAGCTTCAACGGACTCATGAATTGAACCATAAATATACTAAAATCTACACAAAACCCCTTCTGATAACGAAGGTCATAGTAACAACTGAATAATGATCATGAAAAATCGTTGGAGCATAATAATAACTGATTACAGTTTAAAATTAGGAAACACTAACTTATAAAGAAAACGATCAAAACATAATCCCGAAGGAAATTATACCCAAGGAGTGATGAGAGGTTGGACGTGTCATTTTCGCATACAGAATTTTGGCTTGATTTGACTTCCCTTTGATTCAGTTACTTTGATTGTGTAGACTGTTTTAAGGAAAATTCCTTCGGACCGACGTGTTCAGAGTTGATTAGATGCTCCTGTATTGAACTACTGACTGCTTTACATTCTCCTTTTAAAAGTAACGTTAAGTAATTTTCTGAAATGCGTTTGGATAGTGGTCTCTTTGTATGGCCAACCTAACCTTTCACACAAGAGCAAGTCAATGTATAGGTGCACATTGATCACCTTCCTCATCATCATCATCATCATCATCATCATCATCATCATCATCATCATCATCATCATCATCATCATCATCATCATCATCATCATCATTATCATCATCATCATCATCATCATAACACCATCATTATTATAATCATCATTATCATCGTCTTCATCCTCATACTCGTCATCATCATCATCATCATCATTATCAAAATAATCATCATCATCATCATCATCAACACCATCATTGTCATAATCATCATTATCAACTGGAATGTTATTCACATAATATTATTCATAATCATCTTTATCGTCATCAACATAATCAGCATTATCATCATCATCAAAATCATCATCAATATCATCGTCATCTTTATCCTCATTATCAACAGCAAAATTATTCACATCATGTAAATCATCATCATCATCATCATCATCATCATCATCATCATCATCATCATCATCATCATCATCATCACCTTCCTCATCATCATCAGCGTTATCATCATCATCATCATCATCATCATCATCATCATCATCATCATCATCATCATCATCATCATCATCATCATCATCATCATCATTATCATCATCATCATCATTATCATCATCATCGTCATCATCCATACAATCATTATTATGATCATCATTATCATCGTCTTCATCCTCATACTCGTCATCATCATCATCATCATTATCAAAATAATCATCATCATCACCTTCATCAACACCATCATTGTCATAATCATCATTATCAACTGGAATGTTATTCACATAATTTTATTCATAATCATCTTTATCGTCATCAACATAATCAGCATTATCATCATCATCAAAATCATCATCAATATCATCGTCATCTTTATCCTCATTATCAACAGCAAAATTATTCACATCATGTGAATCATCGTCATCATCATCATCATCATCATCATATTCAACATCATCATCATCATCATCATCATCATCATCACCATCATCATCATATTCAACATCATCATCATCATCATCATCATCATCATCATCATCTTCATCATCATCATCATCATTATCATCATCATCATCATCATCATCATCACCATCATCATCATCATCATCATCATCATCATCATCATCATCATCATCATCATCATCATCATCATCATCATCATCATCATCATCATCATCATCATCATCATCATCATCATCATCATCATCATCATCATCATCATCATCATCATCATCATCATCATCACCTTCCTCATCATCATCAGCGTTATCATCATCAATATCATTCTAATCATGATGAGCGTTATCATCCAAATCATCATCATCATCCTAATCATTATCCTCTTCATTATCGTTATCATCATCACGATCATCAACATCATAATCATAATTATCATTCAAATCATCGTCATCCAAATAATCATCATCATCATCCAAATCATCATCCTTATCTTCATCATCATCATCATCATCATCATCATCATCATCATCATCATCATCATCATCATCATCATCATCATCATCATCATTATCACCTTCCTCATCATCATCAGCGTTATCTTCATCAATATCATTCAAATCATGATGAGCGTTATCATCCAAATCATCATCATCCTAATCATTATCCTCTTCATTATCGTTATCTTCATCACGATCATCAACATCATAATCATAATTATCATTCAAATCATCGTCATCCAAATAATAATCATCATCATCCAAATCATCATCCTTATCTTCATCATCATCATCAGCGTTATCATCATCAATATCATTCAAATCATGATGAGCGTTATCATCCAAATCATCATCATCATCCTAATCATTATCCTCTTCATTATCGTTATCATCATCACGATCATCAACATCATAATCATAATTATCATTCAAATCATCTTCATCCAAATAATCATCATCATCATCCAAATCATCATCCTTATCTTCATCATCCAAATCTTCCTTATCTTCGTCATCGTCATCCAAATAATCATCATCATCATCCAAATCATCATCCTTATCTTCATCATCATCATCAGCGTTATCATCATCAATATCATTCAAATCATGATGAGCGTTATCATCCAAATCATCATCATCATCCTAATCATTATCCTCTTCATTATCGTTATCATCATCACGATCATCAACATCATAATCATAATTATCATTCAAATCATCGTCATCCAAATAATCATCATCATCATCCAAATCATCATCCTTATCTTCATCATCCAAATCTTCCTTATCTTCGTCATCGTCATCCAAATAATTATAATCATCATCATCCTAAACATCATCATCATCGGAGTAATAATAATAACAATCATTCGAATCATAGTAATATTAATAATCAAACATCTTCAAAATCATCATCATCATCACTATTTTCATCATAATAAAACTAACAATCATTCGAATCATAGCACTTTTAGTAATCAAGCATCCTCAAAATCATCATCATCATCACCATTTTCATCATCATCCGAATCATCATAATCATCATCACCATTCAAATTTTCATCTTCATGATCATCAACGTCATCATCGTCATCGTCATCATCAACATCATCATATGCGTTTTCATCATCAATGTCATTCAAATCATCACCAACTTAATCATCAAAATTATCATAACCATCATTTTCAACCAAAGGGTTATCATCATCAGAATGCAAGTCGTCATCCAAATGATCATCAAACAAATAATCATCATCTTCATAATCATCATCATCCTCATCATTATCCTCAACATATTAATCCAAATCATCATCATCATTATAAAAGTATTCTTCGTCATCTAAATCATCATATTCATCTTCATCGTTATCCTCATCATCGTCATCATCAGCATTCAAATCATAATCATTATCATCTTGGACATCATCGTTATCATCATGATCATCAACATCATCATCATCATGATGAAATCATCAACGTCATCACCATCATCCAAATCATCATCAGCATTACCATCATCCAAGTCATCATCATCATCATCAACATTATCATCATCATCTTCATCATCCAACTTATCAACCTCATCATCATCATCCAAATCATCATCATCATCGGCATCATACAAATCAGCACCATCATCATCATGATCATCAGTCATATCATAGAATTCTTAATATTCATTATCAATAAAATTGTCATAATCAAAATCCAAAACGTCTTCATCACAATTTTCATCATCATCATCATCATCATCATTATCATCATCATCATTATCATCATCTTCTCAATCGTCATCTTTATCCCCATCATTTTTCATCATCATCATCATCATCATCATTATCCGAATCATCATCATCACTTTAACATCGTCATCATTATACGAAGAATCGTCATCGACTCAATCATCGTAATCTTCATCTTCATTCAAATCATCATGTAAATCATCATCATCATTATCATCAACATCATCATCATCGTCATCATCATCATCTTCCCATTGATCGTCGTGAACATCATGATCATCAACATCATTCACACTTACCTACTTACTTACGCCTGTAAATCCTTATGAAGGAGCATACGCCGCTCACCAGCTTTCTCCGTACAACTCTGTCATGAGCCTTCCTTTCCAGTTCTTTCCAATTGCGATTCATCCTTTTCATATCGGCTTCTATTTTCCGGCGCAGTGTGTTCTTTGGCCTTCCTCTTTTCCGCTTCCCTTCACCATTCCAAGTTATGGATTGAGTCGTGATTAAGTTTGGTGATTTTCTTAATGTATGTCCGATCCACTTCCAACGTCTTTTCCTAATTTCCTCTTCAGCTGGAACATGCTGGTTTGTCCTCTCACATAATACGCTGTAGCTGATAGTATCCGGCCAGTGGATGTTGAGTATTTTGCGTAGACAACTGTTTATAAATACTTGTACCTTCCTGATGATGGCCGTAGTAGTTCTCCACGTTTCAGCTCCATACAGTATAACTGACTGTCTTGACGTTCGTATTAAAGATTCTGACCTTGAAATTGGTTGAGAGTCGTTTTGAGTTTCATATGTTCTTCAATTGTAGAAGTGCTGCCCTTACTTTGCTAATCCTCGCCTTTACATCTGCATCCGATCCCCCTTGTTTATCAACGATGCTCCCCAGGTACTTGAATGTTTCCACCTCTTCCAGTGTTTCGTCATCAAGTGTGATTTGTTTGGTGTTCTCCATGTTGCATTTGAGAATCTTGAATTTTCCTTTGTGAATGTGGAGGCCTATCGATGCGAAGGCTGCTGCCACATTTGCTGTATTCATCTTCATTTGTTCGTGTGTATGAGAGAGGAGGGCTAGGTCATCTGCGAAGTATAAATCATCTAATTGATTCTGAGAAGTCCATTGTATTTCGTATTTCCCGTCAGATGTCGAATTCTTCATAATCCAGTCAATCACTAGAAGGAAGAGGAATGGGGAGAGTAGACAGCCTTGTCTGACTCCGGTCCTTACTGGAAATGCATCTGTTAGCTGTCCCCCATGCACCACATTGCACTGTAGTTCATCGTATGAGTTTTGGATAATGTTGACAATCTTCTGAGGAACTCCATAGTGTCGAAGAAGTTTACATAATGTTCTCCTGTTCACGCTGTCAAACGCCTTCACATAGTCAATAAAGTTGACGTATAGTGATGAGTTCCACTCTACTGATTGTTCAACGATGATCCGTAGTGTCGCAATCTGGTCTGTGCACGACCGATCCTTACGGAATCCAGCCTGATGATCCCTAATTTCGGCTTCTACTGCGTCTTTCATCCCATTCAGCAGCACTCTGTTGAAAAGTTTTCCTGGTACTGATAACAAACTGATGCCTCCGTAGTTCTCACATTTGCTCAGATCTTCTTTCTTTGGTATATTGATGAGATATCCTTCTTTCCAGTCCATTGGCACTTGTTCCTCTTCCCAAATCTTCTTGAATAGAATGTGAAGCATGTTTGCAGTTATTTCTATGTCTGACTTCAGTGCTTCTGCTGGTATATTGTCAGGTCCTGCCGCCTTCCCACTTTTGATTTGTCTGATGGCCATCTTGACTTCTTCGATCGTTGGTGGAGTGACATCTATTGGAAGGTCTGTGTGGGCTGCTTCGATGTTCGGTGGATTCAATGGGGCTGGTCTATTCAGCAGTTCCTCAAAGTATTCTGCCCATCTTTTCCTCTGTTCCTGAATCTCAGTGATTGTCTTTCCTTCTTTGTCTTTGACTGGTCTCTCTGGTTTGCTATATCTCCCTGCCAATTTTTTCGTTGTATCATGTAGTTGTTTCATATTCCCTTCTTTTGCAGCTTTTCCGCCGTCGTTGCTAGTTCTCCCATGTATTTCTGCTTGTCAGCTTTAATGCTTTTTTTCACTTCCCTGTTTGCTTCTGCGTAGTCTGCTTGTGCTTTAGCTTTCTCTGCTCGTGTTCGGCTGTTGTTAATTGCTAGTATCTTGTTCTTCTTTTCTTGAATTTTGTCTAGTGTTCTTATAGAGATCCATTCCTTCTTGTGACGCTTCTTAGGACCAAGAACCTCCTGACACGTTAAAGTTAGTGCTTCTTTTGTCCCTTTCCAGTTGTCCTCCAAAGTAGTTTCTTTTTCTTTCAGTAGATCCTGTAGAGCTTGGAACCTATTGTTGAGAGTTATCTTGAATTCATTGAGCTTGTCAATATCTCGAAG